TCTTTGTATTTGTCCACCCTCCTGCTTCACTCAGGTTTTCTTTTTCATTTTATTATTTCACATTTTCAGGGTAGTTTCTTTTGAGAGTTTTGTCAAGAGAAATCGACATATTTCTGCTTTGTCTCTTTTTCAAACTGAAGTTTTGTTTGTTCCTTTTTATGCGTTTCAACGGAAAGAACATGGAGTTCTTGGTCTGCGTCACTGTCGAAGGTATGTGCCATGTTCGCCTTTTCAATCGCTTTTTTCAGTTTTATTTTTCTGTTTTTCCTTATTACTTCCTTTTTTTTTCTGCTTTTATTTTTTTTCTACTTCTCCTTAAAATCACCATCACACTGCAAGACATCCTTAAAATGTCACGTAAACTTTGCATGCATTTCAGCCATTCCTACACCGCAAAGCACACCCTCCTTGAGCTGCAGCGGCAGAACGGAATTCCACAGCATTCGCGTGGATCTGCGACGTTTTGCAACAGGTGGAATTCAACCCTACATATGTTAGGGACGCCTTTACGAACAGCGAAAGGCCATCACCGATTTCCTGATGTTACAAGCGGATAAAGGTACTGCTCCCATGTGTAACTTAGATTGTCAGCCATTGGTCTCGCAGCTCAATGCGTGACACCTGCCGCTTGCTCAGGCCCTTTGAGGAGGCCACGCTATTTCGTGAGTCTGGCAGGACTATATGGATGAACGGACAGTCATTTCCTCTGTTGCACGTCCTGGCAACAAATGCTGTTAACAATAGGGCTGGTTCAGGGTGCGGTAGACCCCCCAGTGGCGGCACAGATCTCAAAACGCCACATGACCCCTGTGGGGGCAGGAGACAGGAAGACCGAGGAGCTGAGGTAGAGGAGGACATTTGTGCTCAGGAATTATTGATGTGAAATGGTGGTTATTTCCACTCAGCGCGACAGGAGATGGAGGAGCAGGAGCAATCTGGTAGAGGAGGAGGAGGAGGAGACAGAGGACCCAGACGCACCGTGGCAGTATGCTGTGGAGATGGAGGCAGGGGGATCGTCCCGTCGCATTCCTTCGGTACAAAATGGCCCCATAGCATGCTCGGTTGCTTGCGTAGCGACTGCCGAATAACTAACCATCAGACAGAGGGATGATACTTTTGGCTGTCACCTTGTTGGGACCCTATCGCTACCGCTTTCAAAAATGGTGGCCTTTTTCACAACAGCCTGCTGCAGAGGGAGGCCAAAATAACGTACTATAAAAACCACCTATGTAGTCAGTTGGTCTCTGCCTTTCTGCTGACCGAAACGTCCATCCTCAGACACTGTGGGCCCTGTGCGTCTCCAGCGTTCCGCTGCCATGGCAGCAGGTACGGAGGGGTGGGGTGGTAGGAGCAGTGGCAGCTCCACCAGCAGCGGCTGTCCTCAGTCTGGCAGTCGATGATGAGTAGCTTTCTTCAGACCAGCGCAGTGAGGAAAACTACTAACCAGCCGCAACAGCAGCAGCACAGCAGCCATCAGGTGGACCTGGAGCAGGACCTCAAACGAACAAAGGCTTGGGCTCTACTGACTTGGACAGCACACGCATGCCTAACCGAGGAAGACAATGTCAACTTGACTACTGTGCTACAACGAACCTTGACCTGTTTGCCCCGACGCTAGCTGAATTTGCCCTTTGAAAACGGCTGTCCATGCCCAGCCAAGTAAGCTCAGAGGTAGCAATCATGTAGCGTCTGTGGTATATGTGCGGCATTGGAGGTATTGTAGACACTACCGTACGCATCACAACGCTAGACAGGACATGCGACTGTCCACATCCAAAGTAGTAGGTGAGAGAGACTCACGTTTTTTTTTTATTTTTTTTATATTTTTTTTTTTTATTATTTTTTTATTTTTTTTTGTTTTATTTTTTTTTATTTTTTTTTTTTTTTTTTTTTTTTTTTGTTTGTGAAAATGAATCAGGCGAGGATTAGTCCCTTGCATTATCATACCACCAGTAGTCTCAGGATCACAACTGTTGACGTAAATCCTCCAGGAATCATGCCCCAGAAAATGTTGCCCACTTCAGATCTATTCACACTGCATAGTGTGTTCCATTTCTTGTCATAGGGCTGGCTGCATATAACGGGATTTACTAAGCTATATGCTTCTGCCCAGGCCCGTAATCTCTGCCGCATGGGCCCCTGTACCGCCTCCTCATGCTGCTGCCAGTGTCCAGAGTGTGTCATGGGTGCCCTGTACAGTGCCTAGCCCATTGCTGCTGTCTCCATCGCCACACTCGCTGCCATTGTGCCACCCCACCCCACTTTTTTCAGTCTCCTCACACTGCTGGTGTGTTTCCATTTTTTGTCATAGGGTGCTGGCAGATGTAACGGGCCTCCTATAGCAGCTGCCTAGGCCTGTAATCTGCCATGGGCCAGTGGTATCCCCTAAATCCACCTCTTCAGATCTGCTGCCCAGGATCCAGAGTCTCCTCATGGGGTCCCTGTACGGCCTCCTCCATCTGCAGCTGTCTCCATCGTCTCACAGTCACACACTCTGCCATGTGCCACTGTTCCAGGTCTCCGTCACACTGCTGGTGTGTTTCCATTTCTTGTCCATAGGGTGTCTGGCAGATTACGGGCCTTTCCCATAGCTGCTGCTGCCCCTAATCTGCCATGGGCCCCTGTATACCCCGCCTCTCATGCATGCTGTCCCACAGGGGTCCATGGGTCCTTACCTGCACTCCATTTGCTGCTGTCTCCATCGCCCACTCCAAGGTGCCAACTTTCAGGTCAGTTCTCCATCACACAGCGGGTGTGTTCCCATTTTTTTGTCATAGGGTGCTGGCAGATATTACGGGGCCTCCTATAGCTCTGCTTAGCCAGGTCCCTAATAATCTGCCATGGGACCCACTATACCGCCATCCTCATGCTGCTTAGGCCAGGTCCCTAGTCTCCTCATGGGTCCCTGTCCACGGTCCTCCCATAGCTGCTGTCTCCATCGCCACACCACCTCTGCCCATGTGCCATTTTTCAGTTTTTTTTTTTTCTCCTCACACTGCTTGGGGGTTTTTGTGTATTCCATTTTTGTTGTCATGGGGGGGGGGGGGGGGGGGGGGGTGCTGGCAGATTACGGGGGTTTTTTTTTTTTTTTTCCCATAGCTGCTGCCAGGCCCCTGTTTCTGCATGTGGGTGTTTTTTGTACCCGCCTCACTTCATGCTGTGTTTTTGCCCAGTTTTTTTTGTTGGTCCTTGTGTGCCATGGTGCCACTTTCAGGTCTCCTCACATCACTGCTGGTGGTGTTATCCATTTTTTGTCATTAGGGTGTCTGGCAGATTACGGGTGCCTCCCATAGCTGCTGCCAGGCCCTGTAATCTGGCATGGGCCCCTAACCCAACCGCCCTCCAACATCAGCTGCTGCCAAGTCCAAGAGTGTCTCATGGGTCCCCTGTACGGCACTCCCATTGCTGCTGTCTTCCATCACCACAAACACCTCCTGGCCATGTGGCCACTTTCAGGTCTCCTCACACGCTGGTGTGTTCCATTTTTTGTCATAAGGGTGCTGGCAGATTACGGGCCTACCTATTAGCTGCTGCCCAGTGGCCCCCTAATCTGCCCATGGGCCCCCTGAATACCCGCCTGCGCCTTCATGCTGCTACGCCAAGTCCCGAGTAGTCTCTCATGTGTTCCGGCGTGCAGACGGCCAACCCACTTGCTGCTGTCTCCATTTCGCCCACACTCCTGCCATGTGCCACACGTTCAGGTCCACTCACATGCAGGTGTGTATCCATTTTTTGTCATAGGGTGCTTTGCAATTACGGTGCCTCTCCACGATTGCTGCTGCCAAGCCCGTAATCTGCCATGGGCCCCTCTACCGCATCCTCATGCTGCTGCCAGGTCCACAGTGTCTCATGGGTCCCGTACGGAAAGGCCTCCGTTGCTGGTGTCTCCATCGCCAGACTCGCCATGTGCCACTTTCCATAGTCTAGCTGCACACTGCTGGTGTGTTCCTATTTTTTGTCCAAATCAGCGGCAGATTACGGCCTCCATTGCCTGCAGCCAGCCTGTAAACTGCCATGGGCCCCCTGTACCGCCTCTTCATGCTGCTGGCCAGGTCCAGAGTGTCTCATGGGTCCCCCTGTAAACGGCTCCCATTGTCAAGTCTCCATCGCCACACTCTGCCCATGTGCCAACTTTCAGGTCTCCTCACACTGCTGCTGGTGTGTCCATTTTTTGCCATAGGGTGCTGGCAGATGACGGGCCTACCCATTGCAGGCCTGCCAGGCCCGAAATCTGACATGGGCCCCCGTAACCGCCTCCTCATGGCTGCTGCCAAGGTTCCACCGTAGTCTCTCATGGGTCCCTGTAACGCGCCTCCCATTGCTTGACTTGCCCTCCATCGCCCCACCCAGCCATGTGCCACATTTCAGGTCTCCTCACACTGCTGGTGGGTTCCATTTATTGTCATATGGGATGCTTGTAATGGCATCCCCATTTGCTGCTGCCGTCCTCCGCCACACTGTGGCTCCACACTCTGGTTTTTGCCCCCGTGACAGCCCAAATGAGTGAATGTAGTGCGGTTGATTCTAAGATCGACGGCACTCATCTGCATGTCTTACTGACTGACAGTATTAATTACTCTTCCCACAGTCAGAGACTCCAAGGGCATTTAAATTAAAGGTACATGTGTTCGGCACTAATATGAAGGCTCTCTGAAGCCTAGAAAAACCCGTTTTATAAGTTAAATTCGCCATGCGAATATATTCGCAATCGAATTGAAAATTTATTACCTCGAATTCGCCAAAATCAGCCGAATCGAATTTTTGGAATACTTCGCTACATCTCTAATCACGTTCTTATCCTGTAAAATACAAATCATTTATTCTGACATATTAAAACTGTCAAAGAGTAACCATTCAGCTTATCCAAAAATAAACCAGTCTCCCAAAAAATAAATCAATCATTTATCAAACCATAAACCCTAATCCTCGTACTTAACGCCCAAAAATGTTTCTCTCAGCCATTCACCCACGTGCCAAACTAAACTAAAACCCAAACTCACAAACCTAGACTGAATTGTGAATGACAGCACAGTACTGTTCTTACCAAGGCAGGGGCGTTCGGAACTGGACCCTTTTGGGAAACTTGGTCAAATGCACAAGGGGCCCGGGCGTCAGTCGGGTGCCCCATGAGATGCCCCTGGTTACCTTTTTTCATAGGCTTTTTTGATGTTTGGGGGCAAGGACACAGGGGCCCCCATGATCCCCTATTGCCCTGGTGGGCCCCATGTGTTGACAGTCCGCCCCTTGTAACCAGGAGTTTCATTATTAGCTAAGGGCTTATTACAGTGATATTTGTACACAGCTACAAAGTTCGTACACAAAAATCTGGTGCCAAAATATTGCTCCGGCATTTGTTCCGACCTGTTACATGCCAGTTCTTAATCAGTTTACCAAAACAGATGTAGCCTTAGGTTGTAGACCCAACAGCTGGGAATTATAGCTGGAAAATAAAAATATAACTGAGTTTTAACCAGCTTGATAGTTATATCATTGACAAAAACCTGGAGTACTCCAAGATGTAAGCAGAGTAGATCCGACTCTTGCTTAATGAATCATCCTTGCAGTAGTAGAGTCTTGTAATTGTAAATAGCCATCAATTAAATACCGAAAGTTTGAATTTTAAGTGACTTAACCCTTTTTTTATTAAAGATGCTAAGTTTACAGTAGTTTGAATCCCTTCTGCGCAAAATTATTGCATAATGCATAAGATGAGAGACCTAAGAACCAAAAGCTTTCGTCATTCGTAAATGAAGAGAGCCAATAAAGGCTTATGACGCTATAAACTACAACTTAGTCTGCAGTGAGGAAATTACTGAAAGTCGCCACTTAAGCAGCTATGAACTTATTTCTAACATATACCCAATTTGGGAGCAATTGAACCTATGTAGTCATATTGCTGAACTCATGAATGGCAATAATCAAGTAACAGATACTCTGAGCAACAGTACAGCTATTAGTGAAGGTAAACATCTTGTACTGCCAGTACATACCCGCCCAGGGCGGGTATTTCCACCAATATTAACATTACAGTTTACAATAGACTATTTGGTACAAGATGAAACAGAGGGCCAGGCTCGTTAGAGCTTACAATCTAGGAACAGAAATACACCAGTTTCAGAAGTCACAAACAGATACTTAGGGATGTTTTGCAATTGACACGTCCTTCTGCTTGGTTTAACTGACCCTTGGGGGGGATCAATAATTAATTAATTCACTGGGCGTCGACGATGTGGCATTAATATCCCCAGTGGACACTAACTATAGGGCACAATTCCATCCCAATGTGGACACCAAATTATGGGGCCACAATTTCCTCCTAATGAACACCGAACACTGGGCCACTATGACACCAATTATGGGGACACAATTCCTTCCAAAGACATCAAACAGTGGGGCTTGATGAGCTATCCCAATGACACCCAACTTTGGAGGCACAAATTCCTCACAATGGACACCAATGGATAGGGTCACACATGTCACCAAATGATGGGGCAACATTTCCTTCCGAAGAGACATGCAACAATGGGGTTTGATTATACCTCGATGATACCCACAAAGGGGCATAATTCCACCCAATGACACTAATGAATAGGCACAATTCCTCCCTATCACCATCAGTGTTGGGGGCACAAATACCTCCTCCAATTACTCACAACAACAATGGGGCTTGATTCTTCCCAATGATACCAACGAAGGGGCATAATTCCTCCAATGTCACCAATTATGAGGCACAATTCCTCCAAATGATATCAATGATGGGGCACAATTCCTCCCAATGACACCAACAATGGGCCACAAAGTCACCAATGATGGGGCACAATACCTTCCAAAGACACCAACAGTGGGGCTTGATTCTTCCCAATGATACCAGCAAAGGGGCACAATTCCTCCCAATGACACCAATGATGGGGCACAGTTCCTCCCAATGACACCAACAATGGGTCACAATGTCACCAAATGATGGGGCACAATTCCTTCCAAAGACAGCAACAATGGGGCTCGATTCTTCCTAATGACAAAACAAATGAGACGCAATTCCTTTTACTGACACCAAAGATGTGGCATTGTTTACTCCCACTGATAAAGGACATTTTCTACTCCAAATGGCCACATGGGCGCATCTCCCCTAACATCTGAAGGACTGTAAACTGGTCCTTTGTTTAGAAAGTTTGGAGACCCCCTACTCTAGAGGCTGATTTACTAAGGGCTGAAGAGTGATACGTGTTGGGTGGCTTTAGAGAGTGGCTTTAGAGAGGGCATTTGAAAGGCGGTGAGAAGGCATTATATCACCTCTTCACTGTCTGTTTTAATCCCTAAAAACCTGCACCACATGCCATTGAAGGGCAGTTGAGGCACAGCCCCATTCAGTTGAATTGGTCATGTTCGGTAGGCGATACTGCCCACCAAACTCATCAGCAGGGTTAATTTGTGCTGCTCCATGATACATAGAAAACACAATGTTAGCTGTGCAACGATGCAAAGTCTTTGGAGCTTAAGGGGGAGCTTGGGGGGGGGGGGAGAATGCATCTCAACTGGGTGTTTTAACCACTCCCCCAACCGCAAATGTAAATGAGGCTAAAAAGGGTTAAAATCTTCACACAATAAATTGCAGATTCCTGTTTAATATTTCATCTGCACATGATCGGGTATTCAAAGTGAGCAGGAATTTGCTTCTCACATGATTGGATAAATGAAGTAAAAATTCATTGTGTGAAGTTTCTCAGCTGTTTTTAGTAAATCAGCCGAACTGTGTAGCAGAGCAGTGCTGAGGGGACCTAATTTCAGCCACAGCATTTAAAATCAGATTTAGAAAATGAAAGCTAGCACAAGATGAATGGGAAAGTCCAAGCAAAGATACCACCATGTGCATGGAGCCTGTATGCTCCCCTATGTTTGTGCAAGCCCCCTTTGGGCATTTACGTTTCCTTCCACAATCTAAAACATACCGAAGGATTAATTTGGCTTCTACTATGGAGTATATCAGCCCCTGGATCAATGAGTACAACAAATTGCTGTAAGCAACACTTCCACCTTTATTTCCACCAGTTAAAAAGTTCTATTGATGCCGCATTTTCCCTTGTGTCTCCAAGACAACATTCGGCCAAAAACTGCAGCTCTTTGTGCACAGTAAAACTCTATTAATCAGAACAGAGTTTCTTTCTTATTTAGAGTAACTGCAAAATACCACAGGTTCCACCTAGGAATACAAAATTGATTTGTTGGAGGTTCACTCGCTATTTCGTTCCAAGAAGTCCAAGAAAGACATGAAGGACACAGGGATATGTTTGATTGCAACAGAAACAGGAGTCAAGTTTTGGCAACAATTTAATTGTATGGTCACTCATTTTGGATGGAAAGATAGCCAACATTTTAGGAAGAGGGCAGAGGAAGAGGCCTCCAGCCAAAGAATATGTTTAAATGTGTCTAATTTGCTGAAGATAGTTGATCTACTTCGACCACCAGGGAGGGTTGACAGGTATGAACTGTTTACATGTCAGAGGAGGGCCAACTGGAAACAAAATGAAAGATTCCCTAAGACGTGGTTCTATTGGACCCAATTTACGTTCTCTGCTAAAACAAGGAGATTCAAGAGGCATGTTCCTTTGAGTAATGAAAAGTCTCGACAGCTGAAGATAGTTGGTCCACTTTGATCACCAGGGAAGGTTGACAGATATGAATTGTCTACAGGTCAGAAGAAGGCCAAATCTAAACAAAATGGAAGATTCCGTAAGACATGATTCTATTGGACCCAATTTAAATTCTCTGCTAAATATAAGAAGATTATAGAGGCATGCCCCATTGAGTGATCAAATGTCCCGTTCGCTGAAAATAGTTAGTCCACTTCGACCACTAGGGAGGGTTGACAGATATGAACTGTCTACATGTCATGAAAGAACCAAATCTAAACAAAATTAAAGATTCTGTAAGAAGTGATTCTATTGGACCCAATTTAAATTCTCTGCTAATATAAGAAGAATCTACAGGCATGTCCCTTTAAGTAGTCAAAAGCCCCGATAGCTGAAGATAGTTGGTCCACTTCAACCACCAGTCAAGGTTGACAGATATGAAATGTCTACATGTCAGAATAGGGACAAATCTAAACAAAATGAAAGATTAAAAAAAAAGAGGTGATTCTTTTGGACCTAATTAAAATTATCTGCTAAATATAAGGAGATCATAGAGGCATGTCCCTTTGAGTAATCAAAAGTCTCGATAGCTGAGGATAGTTGGTCCACTTCGATCACCAGGGAAGGTTGACAGATATGAATTATCTACAGGTCAGAAGAGGGCCAAATCTAAACAAAATGAAAGATTCTGTAATACATGATTCTATTGGACCCAATTTAAATTCTAAGAAGATTATAGAGGCATGCCCCATTGAGTGATCAAAAGTCCCAATAGCGCATATTTTATTCATCTGTTTTAGGTAACTCCCCTTCCCTCTTTTTTTCCTTTATTCTCCAATATCCTATAAAAGAAAGTTGCCAGGAATTTTGTTTTTTATACCTCTATGGACATCAAGTAAAAACACCATATAGCCCAGATCACCAAATGGGTCTTTCGGCAATTCCTTTAAGCTTCATGGGGCAACACAGTGACTAAGCGGTTAGCACTTCTGTCTTGCAGCACTAGTGTCATCGGTTTCAAATCCCAACCACAGCACTACCTCCCTGTAGTTAGCATGTTCTCCCTGTGGCTGCGTGAGTTTCCTGCCGCATTCCAAAGACAGGCTAAATGGCTCCTGTCTAAGTTGGCCCTAGTATGTATATGTATGAATGTGAATTAGGGACCTTAGGTTGTAAGCACCTTGAAGGCAGGGACTGATGTGAATGTTCAATACATATGTAAAGTGTTGTGTAAATTGATGGCACTATATATATACTGTACACACCTGTAATTATATAAAGCTGTAAATGTTTTCAGAATGTTTTTTGTAATTTTTTTTCCTGTACAATCACGGTGATACTTCGACTAATTTGCAAAGAATCTCTGGGCCACCCAACACTTTTTTCTGTGACCCATTTTTTATGACACATGGATGAAGAAGATAGTAATCTGGTTACTTACTATACTAGTTCCTACTGAATTGTGTGGACCAGTCTATCGGCCTACAAAATAAAATGGACCTGAATGTTGGTCTTCAGAGTCTGTTGAAGGAGAGACAGAGTATAAGATTCCAATGGCATTTTGCAGGTCCATGTCCGCTAGTTGTAAATTCCCTACATAAGGTGGTCGTACGCTTGTCCAGATAAGTGGAGTGATTTACATGAAATTGATTTCGCCATCATCATAATGTAGCAGAAACAGGAACTGAATTCTGCTCATTGAGATTGTTTAAGTCTCTTTTTTCAAGTAGAGGTTTTTCTTTTAGGAAGAATCGGTGATTCAGGCTATATGGTTCACACCGCACACAAATCGCATGTGATTCGCACAGGAACATACAAAATCGCATGTGATTCGCACAGGAACATACAAAATGTATGGCTCCTGACCGCACCGCACACAAATCGCATGTGATTCGCACAGGAACATACAAAATGTATGGCTCCGACCGCACCGCACACAAATCGCATGTGATTCGCACAGGAACATACAAAATTATGGCTCCGACCGCACCGCACACAAATCGCATGTGATTCGCACAGGAACATACAAAAATGTATGGCTCCGACCGCACCGCACACAAATCGCATGTGATTCGCACAGGAACATACAAAATGTATGGCTCCGACCGCACCGCACACAAATCGCATGTGATTCGCACAGGAACATACAAAATGTATGGCTCCGACCGCACCGCACACAAATCGCATGTGATTCGCACAGGAACATACAAAACGTATGGCTCCGACCGCACCGCACACAAATCGCATGTGATTCGCACAGGAACATACAAAACGTATGGCTCCGACCGCACCGCACACAAATCGCATGTGATTCGCACAGGAACATACAAAACGTATGGCTCCGACCGCACCGACCGCACCGCACACAAATCGCATGTGATTCGCACAGGAACATACAAAACGTATGGCTCCGACCGCACCGCACACAAATCGCATGTGATTCGCACAGGAACATACAAAAGGTATGGCTCCGACCGCACCGCACACAAATCGCATGTGATTCGCACAGGAACATACAAAACGTATGGCTCCTACCGCAGCGCACACAAATCGCATGTGATTCGCACAGGAACATACAAAATGTATGGCTCCGACCGCACCGCACACAAATTGCACATGATTTGCACAGGAATGTGGTGCGGTTGGAGCCATACATTTTGTATGGCTCAAATCGCACCGCACCCGCACCAAAAAAGTACAGAACCCTTTTTTGAGTCCGCACTAGAATTAGATTGCATGGGTGTTCACACCTATGCGACCCAATTCTGCACATCACACCGCGTTTTGTGGACCGCTTTCGGGGTGTTGTTAACTTAACATACATACCCGCATCGGTTCGGATGAACGGGTTGCGAATCTGATGCGGTGCAGAATTCGCACAGTAAACACTGAAAATTACGCACCGCATCAGTGTGAACCAGGGCTCAGGCAAGGTTTGGGCTAGTTGTTATTATTATTATTATTATACAGGATTTATATAGAGCCAACACTTTGCACAGAGCTTTACAAAATGAAGGGAGACAATACAGTTACAATACAACTCAATACAGTTAATACGTTAATATATTTGATTTACTATTCTTTGTATTTTCAACAATTTTTTTTTTGTATATTTGATTCGTATTTCTGCACAGTTGTTTTACTTTTTGTTTTAATTAAGCTTTTTTTCGCATTTACTGTACTTTCTATAAAAAAAACAAAATTAAATAGTGACGCTACTAATCATCTGTTTTTTGGCAGCGTAACAGCTGAATTATAATTTAAAGGATACTGCAAAATGCTCAAGAGCTAATTAAAATAAACACACAGCGATTTCACTTTCTATATTCACTTCAAAGTAATAGTGAAATTTTGCCGAAGTCTTCAGATTTATGCTAGAATTTATGGGGGGAAAAAAATCTTAATTCTGCTCAACCCTAAACGCTTTGCTGTGCCATTTTATGGAACTATTAACGTTGTTCATTCGTGCTTTCTGGGGCTGTGTTTGATAGGATTTGGAATGAGAGACAAAAAGAAGAAAGCTTATGATATTAACTTGCATATTACCAAGCTATCTTTTACTGAAGTATATTATATATATATATATATATATATATATATATATATATATATATATACACAATTCTAGCGGTGCCTATTAAAAAATAAATAAATAGGTAAATTAATACTATATATATATTTTTTTTTTTCCTTCTTCATTTTTTTTATTATTTATTGTATTTTTTGGAATTAGTGAATGCCTATTTTATTTGAAACAATCTTACCAAAAAGTCTATTGTCTTTTATAGGGCTATTTACTCCTTATTCACGAGCGAAGCAAGAATACAAAATGCTGTAAAGCTGGCGCCTCGCTATGGGCAATTGAGTATTTAGTATTAAAGGGTGACTTCTTTTTTCTCTATGCAAAAACTGTAATGATCTTTTAATGCTTGCAAAGAAATTCCTCCATATCGAAAATAAATTCTCAGCCAAGCTGGTAAGCATAGTACCAACATGGTATAACAGAATAGAGCAACTGATGTTACAATCTAACATGGGCTGTTGATTGATTGTCTTACAATCTACTGTGTGACCTTACACAGATGTACATACAGACATGCATACTTTTAGCACAGGAGCTTGAGTGTCTATGTTATTAGCTGGTGCAATCCACAACATGACGGGAAAGAAAACCGTATGGATCAAATGAAGTGGACCCATACAGGTAAATAATTTTTAATTGAAAATATAGTGTTTTGCCTGAAAAGGAACTCAGGAACAAGGGAACTTGCACATATATCAGGCCCCATTAGAAGAGTTTGATGTGATGAAAGATAATATTTCATATTCATATCAAAGAACCGATTTGCAAATGTGTGTATATATATATATATATATATAGTTTTACTCAAGGCACCTCTGTAAGGTATGTGTCCATATTCTATATATTCTATATCTGAGTTGCAGCTCTAAAATATAAGAAACTAACAGAAAAAGAACTACGGTAGTTGTGGACTCAGCCGGAATAGGGAATTTGTAAATACTCAAGGATAATAAATGAAACAAAGGAGAAGGTGATCAGTGGTGCATGAAAACTTCTTTAGTACAGACAAAATTAAAACTAAAGTGTTTTGTACTTTTAATTTTGTCTGTAATAAAAAGTTTTAGTGCGCCACGGATCACCTTCTCCTTTGTTTCATTTATTATGCTTGAGTATTTACAAATTCCCTATTACGGTACAGTCCACAACTAGTTCTTTTTCCGTTAGTTTCTCATTGGCTTGGTGTCTAGGGACTCCCGGAATACATATTTACGCTTGATCATATATATTTTTAGGTACCTTGAGGCCTCTTTTTGGAAGTTTTGCAACTCATATATATATATATATATATATATATATATATATATATATATACAGGGGCGGACTGACCATTTGGAAACTCGGGCACTGCCCGAGGGCCCGGGGTCAGTAGGGGGCCCCATGAGATGCCCCTGGTTCCTTTTTCATAGGTTTTTTGAGTTTGGGCAAGGACACAGGGGCCCCATGATCCCCTATTGCCCGGGGGCCCCATGAGTTGTCAGTCGCCCCTGTATATATATATATATTGCAGTGTGTGCAAACCTGGTCAAGAACTACAGGAAACGTCTGACCTCTGTAATTGCAAACAAAGGCTTCTGTACCAAATATTAACACTGATTTTCTCAGGTGTTCAAATACTTCTGTTCAGCAGTGCAAGACAAATACATTCTTTACAAATCATACAATGTGATTTCCTGAATTTTTTTTTTTAATTCTGTCTCTCAGAGTGGGAATGCACACAATGAACTTGCAAAATCGCAGGGTGTTCAAATACTTCTTTTCCTCACTGTATATAATGTTATTATTATTATTATAATACAGTATTTATATAGCGCCAACAGTTTGCTCAGCGCTGTACATTATAAAATATATATATATATATACTGTATATCAGTCAACAATGGCAGCTTCTGTGATTAATTTAAAACTAGCAAAAAAGTGTTACAAGCCTGCTCTCGATTTAATGACTGAAATATCTATTTATATGAACAATAACAGGTGATATTGTAAAGGAGTGTAATTTTCACTAAGCATATTGAATCTATATTTTCCTTTAACTTAACCATTTCCTGCAAGAAAAATAAAACTTTTTTTTGTTTGTTTGCAAAGTGAAAATCTTTTACTTCTTTAGGACATGAACCCCAGTGAATGCATTCATGGAAAAGAATATTAGGGACACGTTAATCCACACCAGGATACGTACAGTCAATGAATGAGGGATATTTAAGGTATATGTACAGTAGTGTAATAAGGTTTAGATGCACCATTCTACAGAATCTAACCATCAATGACCTTTGGCTGTTCTTAGCCCAATCAAACATTGCCTATAATGAGAATGACTGGGGCAAGAATGACTGGGTATTGTTTAAGATTTTCTAGCTCTAGAGGGAAAACCATTTGGGTTACCAATTCAACAATGATAGTTCCCTGTTAGAAAACAGGACAGTCCTCCGTGCCAAGAGAGTCCACTGAATTAGGTTTGTACCGAAAGTAATGCAAAAGTGGGCATTTTTTTAAAGTATAAAAGATGCGGCGCTATATCACAGATATTATTATGCAAAACGTCCAAGATATTGATATATAGTGAGTATAAATCGGGTGACTAATGTGATCACAGACATTATGTCACAAGCAGAGTAACATGCAGTGCAAAATAAATAGTCAGTGACAATCCCTCTCCTTCAAAGTGCTTCTTCCATGCGGTGATAGTGAGAAGGGTAAGGCTGTGCACTCACCAGATGCACAGTGTAACTGCGCATTTAGAGATAAATCTCTCTACTGGATCCACTGGTGGCTGCTAAAGATCAGGTCAGGCCTGGTATTCCTCCCCCCGCTGGATGTTGCCGACAATCCACGGTCTCCCTTTTAGGTGGCTCTATGGGTGATAAGTGAGTCACCTTTGACATTTCACTTAGGGCAACAAGAATGAGGGCTGTGCACACCAGCCTGGATGGCTGCCATCAAATCTCTTCAAGGGGCAATCATCAGAGCACCAGCAGGTAAAAGTCAGACTATGGAGACTTCCAGGCTGCATCCAGGACTCCTCACTGCAGACAGAAAACAGTGCATAGAGAGCTTCATGGAATGGGTTTCCATGGCCGAGCAGCTGCATCCAAGCCTTCCATCACCAAGTGCAATGCAAAGCGTTGGATGCAGTGGTGTAAAGAACGCCACCACTGGACTCTAGAGCAGTGGCGACATGTTCTCTTGAGTGAGGAATCAGGCTTCTCTGTCTGGCAATCCGATGGACGTGTCTGGGTTTGGTGGTTGCCAAGAGAATGGTACTAGCCTGACTGCATTGTGCCAAGTGTCAAGTTTGGTGAAGGGAGGATTATGGTGTGGGGTTGTTTTTCAGGGGTTGAGCTTGGCCCCCTAGTTCCAGTGAAAGGTACTCTTAAGGCGCCAGCATACCAAGACATTTTGGACAATTTCATGCTCCCAACTCCCAACATGACTGCGCACCAGTGCACAAAGCAAGGTCTATAAAGACATGGATGAGCAAGTTTGGGGTGGAGGAACTTGACTGGCCTGCACAGAGTCCTGACCTCAACCCCATAGAACACCTTTGGGATGAATTAGAGTGGAGACTGCGAGCCAGGCCTCCTCCCCCGACATCAGTGCCTGACCTCACAAATGCGCTTCTGGAAGAATGGTCCAACCTTCCCATAGACACCCTCCTAAACCTTGTGGACAGCCTTCCCAGAAGAGTTGAAGCTGTTATATCTGCAAAGGGCGGGGCCAATTCAATATTGAACCCTATGGACTAAGACTGGGGGGCCATTAAAGTTCATGTGTGTAAAGACAGGCGACCAATACTTTTGGCAATATAGTGTGTATATTTTTTACCTTCCACGCACTCAAGAATTCAGAGTGAACATAGTCCCACGACTCCCACCTCATTCACAAAGTTAAGTGAACATTTTCCACTGCCGTAGTAAATCAGCACCATTATGTAGTTTGACTCACTCAAGCTCTATACTGAGATTATATGTAAAATACGTACACAAAACACGATACAATTTCAGCAATACAGACCCTCTGATTAATGATGTTTTCCCAGATGTTTCCAATGTCAAAATATTTGCACAACATCCCCAAACAGAAATATCTGGAAGCAACTCTCAGCTAATAAAAAGGCAAATGAAGGACATTTACAAGTGTTATTGCTTGTTGGGTTTAAAAATACAAAGCATGAGTAATTACTATCAATAGTTTTATTGGTTTTGTGGAACTTGAATTTCTGCACAAAATCCAGTATCTGCTAAAATGTAAGTGGCAGATGGTGCCGTGACTGCTGTCTGATTTATTACAAGCACCTGCATTTAACAAATGAAGATGTGTGTGTAAATGATGAGGATAGCTAAAGCTTCCTTAAGTCATTTTATTCCCCGTATAGGGGATCATGGAAATGGAGGTCCTTATCAAACGCAACCTTTTCCTTTCAAATGAAGTTCTACTCAAATGCAGTAATGCAAATGCAGCATTTGGTGAGAAAGGGCTGTTTCTGACTTTCTTGACAAGTAATTTAAAGTCACTTCAAAGAAGAAATCAGATGCAAAGTAGATTCACCTCCCTAGCGGGCTGATTATGTCCATATTTCTGTGCTCAAAGCGGTACATTTTTTTTGCATGGAAATATGTCGTTTTTTTATTGTAGGCTGTAATTTTGTAGGAATAACTCACTGAAATCTGTCCGAACAAGAGTCTAGTAAACATCCCGGGGATGATAAAATTTGAAACACGAAATCATAAATTATAATTTAATAAATAATCATAAAAAATAATAATATAATAATAATAAATTTAATTCAATAATATAATCAAACCAAAAACACTGAAATGTGAAATATAGCGCCAAGTTCGCACATCACTGAGCAAAGTCGTAAAATCGTTTTCAGTGTCTGATGAGGAATTTCCCCCACGAATCATTATCACTCAATTCTGCAAGTGGTTCTGATTTACTATCGCTGTTCTCTAGCCGGTCTAAAACCGCATCTGACCTAAAGGGGTTTATTTACTAAAGCTGGTTCACTCAAAATCTTGTGAACTTCTGCATAGAAACCAATCAGCTTCCAGGTTTTATTGCTAAAGATTAACTGAACAAGCTGAGGTTAGAAGCTGATTGGCTACCATGCACATCTGGAGGAGATTCTGGGTGAACCAACTTTAGTAAATAAACCCCAAAGGGACGCTTTTTGGACGCCATGGACGTTTCTCAGTTTCCAGGCAGAAAGAACAGTAAAAATGCAGGCAGGGCGCCGGACAAAGCACTCGGGACAAAATGTATGTGAAATGGTTTGATACAGGAATGTTATACTATGTGATTTTAGTGAATTTAGTGAATGTCACTTTTTCTCATTTTTTTAATTTGCTGCCGGTTCCGTCCCCGTACGTCCCGACGTCGCAGGGAACGGAACCCAGAAGACGGATGCCGGCATCGGCCGGAGGACATTACAGGGGACACTGCAGGGGGGACATCGCGGGAGCGCAGGACAAGGTAAGTGCAGAAGAGATCCCGGAGCAACGCCGCAGTGTATTCCCGAGTGGAGCTCGGGGTTACCGCTTGTGGTGCTGAAACTTTACCCCGAGCTACACTCGGGAATACCGCCAGGGAGGTTAAATGCAGCCTCTGAACTGTCACCTGCACTGCTGCATTGAAGTCAATGGGAATACACTTTATTAGGTATACCTTGCTAGTACCAGGTTGGGCCTTATTTTGCCTTCAGAACTACCTTCATTCTTCGTGGCATAGATTCAACAAGGTGTTGGAAACATTCCTCTGAGATTTTGGTCCATATTGACATAAGTTACTGTTGCCTTTCTATCATCTCAAACCCGTCTGTCCGTTCTCCTCAAACCTCTGACATCAACAAGCTTTTTCCTCCACATAACTGCCACTCACTGGATAATTTCTCATTTCTCTGACCACTCTCAGTAAACCCCAGAGATGGTTGTGTGTGAAAATCCCAGTAGATCAGCAGTTTTTGAAATACTCAGACAGCCCACCTAGCACCAACAACCATGCCATGTTCAAAGTCACTTAAATCCCCTTCTTCCCAATTCTAAAGCTCAGCAAGTCATCTTTGCCACATCTAGATGCCTAAATGAATTGAGCTGCAGCCATGTGATTGGCTGATTAGCAATTTGTGTTACCAAGCAATTGAAAAAGTGTACCTAATAAAGTGGCCGGTGAGTGTATATTGACCCGTGTTTAACAGGCATTTCCAATACACATTACCTTCATGAGCCTAGTAATAATGAGATTGCAGGTTGGCCAGAAAAGGAGGTTACCTCTGTATCTATGAGCTGCTTTAGATTAAAGTAAATGCTTCTAAAAATTAGATTTTAGGATGGAAACTAATTGATTTTGGTGACTTCCTTTAGGGTTCATTCATGATAGCAGCTTGGGGTTCGGCTCCCAATAAACATGACCCATTTAACTGAATAGGGCTGCTCTGCAAACACCCTGCAATGCTTGCAGTTTTTTCGCACTAG